CTTGGCGAGAGGAGCTTCGGTTTCTGCTCGGCGACAGCGGCTGCCAGGGCCACCGAGGCGGCGTTGATCTCGCGAGTCTCTTCATGAAGTTTCTCATCGGTGACTGAGTCCATTTGCTTCAGGTAGTTCTCCGCGGTGGGCGCCATGGCGATCGATAGCTCTTCAGCGATGGACCTTGAGGAAATCAATGGCAGACCTGAAGCTATCTAGTGACGACCACGTAAAAGAAACCGACAGAACAAAACTTGCGATGGTTACACGAGAGAGGGGGCATCGCTTTTGCTTATAACTTGCTCGGTCAATCACACTCCGAATGCACGTCTATCAACACCCCGGCACATGATCAACAAGACATGGCAGCCCGGTGGGATGGATCTTTGGTTACTAGACGCATGTCTTCGGCGGTATAAGGCCAAAAGCAGGATTGCACGATCTTGGGGTGTGAAGGGAGGCGGGGATGTTGGGGAAATCTAGGCAAAGATGCCCGCGCGCATGACCTTGGCAAAAGGGCTGGACGACGACTATTGGATATTAGGGGTAGACAAAGGGCAGATTGACTGCGCTGCAACCCTCTTCATATTCCAATTGCAACACTGCAATATTGGATCTCGACCGTCTTCTATGCAAGTTCGGTTGATAGAACCATGTACTTCGTAACAATCCAATGTCAATGTAAATTATAAAGATGAGCAGGGGTTTGTGGGTTAAGAAGTGTACTTATTGGTCCCCATTAAGCAATTTCACCCTCGGTTTCGGAACAATACATCGTGAGTTTGGTTAGAAGATAGCAGGCAACATAGAAAACCTATCAGTGGCTTGGCCGAGAGTGAAAGCCGGGGTTGACATCAAGACGAAGATATAATAATAAAAGCAGTCTGCTAGTCTACAATTTCCCGCAGTTCTGGTTTCGCATTAGTCCGAGAAAAGAAGTCTCCGATACATGTGCAGTTTAGCCATTGAATTTCAAGTGCGGCAAGATCCGAAGGTAGAGTTCGTGAGTTTCGATAATTGAAGGAAGTCGTTTACCGTAAACTACCTTTCACATGCATGTCTATGTGTATTACGCTTGGCAGTGAGAGAGGGCACTAGCCACACTACCATAAGTGGCTTAGCCTAAACAGCGCGCAGGCGGGCCAATTAGAGACGATTTTAGTACCCCAGCTTCAGTGACGTAGTACCTAGGTTAGGGGGTTGGTGCGCGGGTACTATCCGCTCAACTCCAACCTTCACACTTTCATCGACAGGCTGCCTACTACTGGGCGTCTCAACAATATCTGACGGATGTTGTGCCTCAGACAGTCTGCTTGATGAGTGATTGCTGTCGGCTGCCTCGTATTCCACCTAGTCATTCGTACTGCTAGATTTAAAACCAGTTGTCTCACAGTTCACTCGTTTAGCGTTTACACCCCTCATTAAACGGCTATATACAATCATTGATTTTCTCTTACCACTTCACTACTTCATGAATTGCTTCAGACGCATAATAATATCAAATATATATCGAAGGCTCAGGCGATCTCAACATCTACCTGGGTGTTTAAGTCACTATTAGGGCTACCTGCTGGCCCGTCTGTTCTTGTTGTTTGTCCCTGCTAATCATCATGGCTTCATCCTCTGAGTTGCTCCGACGCCGTAAGGGAAACGGCAGAGATATTCGTCCTCACACTCATCTACATGTGGATTTGCAGATCACTAGCCCCGATTTGAACGCTGAAGCATCAAGCCATTTCGACACAGCCACTTCAGAAGTCAAGCCTGACCACCTCCCTGATTGGAGCAACCTTAAGATTATCCATCGAAACACATTGTCACCTCGAAGCCATTTTCATCTATATGATACTGAGGAGAATGCTCTCTCAGGCGATGTTAGCAAATCTCGGGCAGCCTTGCTTTCCGGCACATGGGGTTTTCATCTGTCAACAGGCCCCTTCAAAGGGCCTCGCGATTTCTATAAGCCAGATTTCGATCACACTGACTGGAAACTAATCCAGGTCCCAGGCATGTGGCAATGTCAGGGCTTCGGGAAAGGGCCTCAGTATACTAACGTGAACTACCCTTTTCCGGTAAACCCACCACATGTACCTTACGACGACAATGAGTGTGGTCGTTACATTACGCGTTTTGAAGTGCCCGACCGCCTGAAAGACGGTAGCCAATGGAGGCTTCGATTCGAAGGCGTCGACGCTGCTTTCGCGGTTTGGGTGAATGGTCGAGAAGTTGGCTACTCTCAAGGCTCTCGAAACCCCAGCGAGTTCGATGTATCTGACTTTCTTCAACTTAATGACGAGAATACACTGTGTGTCGAGGTTTATCAGCGATGTGACGGAAGCTACATTGAAGATCAAGTCAGTATGACCTAACAGACTTAGATAACAAATTTACTAACCTACTTCCCTACATGATAGGACCAGTGGTGGCTGAGCGGAATATTTAGAGACGTTTGGCTTCATTCATTTCCTTCGTCTCATTTTGAAGACTTTCATATTCAAACTCTCCTCGATGATGATTATCGAGATGCAGACCTAGTCGTGCATTTCAAAGTAAACAAGCCGGGTGAGACGGTCTCATTGAAGCTTCTCGACCTCGAAGGCGAAATTGTCATCGAGAGAGAACACGGTGTAGACACAGGCATCGGAAAGTTCGAACACCGCTTGAGTAACCCGGAAAAATGGACGGCAGAAACGCCGTACCTTTACACGCTTATCCTCCGCCTCGGAGATGTATGTGTTGCCCAGAAAGTTGGGTTTCGCCGGACAGAACTCATTCATGGCGTGTTCTGTGTCAATGGAAACCCCATTAAGATACGCGGGGTCAATCGCCACGAGCACAATGCGGAATCCGGCAGAACCGTTCCCTACAGATCACTCCTGCAAGACCTTGCGACAATGAAGAGTTTTGGCATCAACGCGATTCGGACGTGCCACTATATCAACGACCCCAAGTTCTACGACCTCACAGATGAGCTAGGATTCTGGGTGCTGGATGAAGCGGATCTGGAGTGTCATGGGTTCGGCGAAGTGGGTGGCGATCCTGCAAGCTACCTCTCGGATAACCCCGATTGGAGGGAAGCATACGTGGATCGCGCATTGCAAATGGTGATGCGTGACAAGAATCACCCCTCCGTCATCATGTGGTCTCTTGGAAACGAGGCTTTCTATGGAAGGAATCATCAAGCCATGTACGACGAAATTAAAAAGATCGATACAACGCGGTTGATCCACTACGAGGCTGACCAAGAGGCTCAGACCGCTGATATTTTTAGTCGAATGTACACTCCTGTCGATGAGATGATCAAATACGCCGAGGAGAAAGAGTGGAAGAAGCCGTTCGTTATGTGCGAGTTCGTCCATGCCATGGGCAACGGCCCTGGTGCAATTCAGGAGTATATAGAGGCATTCTATAAATACCCAAGGCTCATGGGCGGGTTCGTCTGGGAATGGGCGAACCATGGCCTGCTCACTGAGACAAAAGATGGACAGAAGTTTTATGGATACGGAGGTGATTTTGGCGACGACCCGAACGATTACAATTTCGTAATGGACGGCCTGTGCGATTCTCAACATTTCCCTGGCCCCGGACTATCAGAATACAGCAAAGCAATTGAACCCGTTCAAGTCCTTAGTATCGATGGCAACCAGGTAAAGATTGTCAACCGCTACGACTTCCTTACTCTAGACCATCTTGAATGCTATTGGGAGGTCATCTCTGATAGGCAACAATACATTGGACGACAGATTCCTATCCCACCGGGTGTCAAGCCGCATACTGAAACAACCGTGACTCTTGGTGGGATGCCAATGACGTTCTCCACGGAGGCTTGGCTGCAATTGAACTTCACCACACGGTCTGACTCGAAATGGACATCCCCTAGTCATGTCGTAGCCCGTGGGCAGGTGCAGCTCACGCCTCCCAGATCATTATACCAGCTCACAACGCTATCGGCGCCACCCTTAAGCCGCCCATACATCCAACGCAAAGACGGCTCCATCTACGCCACCATCGCAAGCGGCATGACATTCGGCTTCGACACAGGCGCTGGGACGCTATTCTCGCTAACACATGCCTCTGACCCAAAACTTAATCTCATCACCATCCCTTTTACTCTGGACTTTTACCGCGCTCTGACAGACAACGACCGCGGGGGACCCTTCGGAAAACAGTGGCTCGACGGCCGCGTACACCAGACCCGGAACCACTTCACCCAGATCCGGATCGACGAGACAGATACGACCTGCACAATCGAAGTCAAGGGCCGCGTGGCGCCGCCGGTCCTCGCCTGGTCCGTCGACACGACGACAACATATACTGTGACCTCGACGCACTGCAGCGTGCGAGTTCAGGCCCGCCCCCAAGGCCGTCTCCTCCCGGAGACGTTCGCACGCTTCGGTCTGACGTTCGGACTGCGCAACATCCGCATCGTAGAGTGGTTCGGGCGCGGCCCGCAAGAGTCGTACGCGGACAAGAAGCAGTCACAGTTCATCAATACATGGGGATGGGCTGCAAATTCCATGTTCCACGAGTACGAGTTCCCGCAAGACGCGGGGAACCGGACCGACGTACGCTGGGTCGAGCTGCGCGAGCGCTGGGGTGGCGACGAGGACGGCCGCCTGTTGCGCGCGCGCTTCGGGGATCACGAGGGCGCCAGTTTCAGCGTCATGCCGTATACCACGAAAGACATCGACGAGTGTACGCATCCGCATGAGCTGCGCGCGCGGAAGCGCGAAGATCATATTGTTCGCTTGGATTGGTTTCATCATGGATTAGGCACGGGGAGCTGTGGGCCCGCGACGCTGCCCAAGTACCAGCTGAGGACGGATCGCGAGTTTGATGTCGAGCTGCTGCTTGATTAGGTAGACTACCTACATAGTCGTATCACTAGACAAGTATTATGCTTCCAGTCTCGATAAGTTTCAACTCAGCAAGTGGGTCAGTAGACTCCAGTACGTTCTGACTCGAGTGAATACAATAAACGGGTATTGCGTTATTTTCAGTAACAATCCGCCCGGTTAGCTCAATCGGTAGAGCGTGAGACTCTTAATCTCAAGGTTGCGGGTGAGTAGTTTTCAAACACGAAGTTCCATGAAAAAATACTAATCCTTCATAGGTTCGACCCCCGCATTGGGCTCAATTCCTGATGCCTCCCAGGTGAACTAGGAGCAGCAACCTTTTTATTCTTATTTATTTTTATTTCTCTTTTCTTCCTTGCCCCCCGGGTGCAAGGAAGGGCTACACTACAATGTTCTGGCATTTGCCATAGACATAGCTATGGACTGTCGCCCAATCCTCAGCGTATATCGTCCAAAGTAATGAAAATTTGTGCTAGACACGTTAGAGTCTACCGGCATCCAAACAAGTAGGTAGCAGAATAAATGAGGCACCTAGCTACAAAATGCGCGCACCTCCACTTATAACCAGAACAAGAACAAACTTACACCACATTGAACTTGATACAAAAAATATGAAAAGATATGTACATATTATTTACCTGTTGAAGCTTATAAGAGCAGTTGTTCCTTATTTATTTCAATGCTTGTAAGTGGGCCATACTTTGTTGGAAGCAGGGAAGAATCGTATGCTAGACACATTGGGGTCTGGCGGAGAGAAGAGTGTTCATCGTCCAAAAGTGATGCTAATGATTCCAATGCTAACTAAGACTATGTATGATAACCTTGGATTACAGTCAAATAGAACAATGTATGGCACACCCCTTCCCTCTTCCAATCAAGCACCAGTCCCTTATTCTTCTGTCATTCGTACTGCCAGCATCCAATGCTGTGTCCCGTTTTGGTCAAGGCCAATCCACCGATGTCGGTACAGTCAATCAAACTGAAGCCTGCGGTCTTGGCATATAGTACAAAGCTCGCTCCGGTTCCTTTCATCTCGTCCGGTATGTCAGGGCATAGGGTGAGGCCGTGGTGGCCTTTCCCGTCATCAAAGTAGACCACGTCTTGTGTCGTTGGTACATGGAGATTCGATGAGCTCGTCGTGTGATGCCAACCATCCGTTATTGAGCCGGGAGGCATGTATGCTGAATGCGGAATTGTGAACTTGACCTGTCCGTCGGTTTGGACGTAAATCTGTTGACCTCCGGGCACCTCAACCTGAGAAATGAAGGAGGATGTTAGTCATACCCACCAAGGACAAACGGAGGCTGTGTGAGGAGTATGGTATGCTACAAATAAGAAACATAGTTGATAGAGGGCGGGGAGGATGAAAATAAAATTGAACCCAAAATATCGTTTGACAAGGAGGTCATTACACACCATCAGAGCTTCCATGTTCTGGGATACTAGTGTGCCCATAACATTAGGACAACTGGATGCTGGGTTGAGGGGACAGTAGGTTGATGGGCCCGAGAGTCCGGAATAGAAACCTTCCTTGGCAGCATTGAGCTGTGCTCCGTTGACCCCGGAGCAAGGTGTTGCCCAAGCCGAGATCGAAAACCCGTCTGCTGAGACGGGAGCAGCGGTCGCCAGAAACCAAAGGAAATACATCTTGTTATGGTTTGCCAGATTACGGTCCGTGAAGTGTGTGGCCTGGGTTGAAGAGAGCGTATATCATGGAGCTCGAAGACGTCAGAGTAATGTGGCGTTGGGATGAGTGAGGTGGGAGGATCTCCTTACTATATAGGTAGTATGCTCCCTCCACTTGCCCTATACGTTTGCTCCCTCTTGCCAGTTTCGCATGCCTACCTCCTCATGAATAATTATGTTGTTCTTTCCGACCGTTGGCGTATGTCACTCGAAGGAACTACCCCGTGACAAGGTGGTCGGTACAAGGTGCCTGCCTACCCTATCCCTTGGCGGTCGTAAGTGAGCAAAAAGGGACCCGAACCTTTGTGTCGTGTACTATAGTATTTGATGTAGAAAAGGGGGGTTTTTTTGGTCCATATAAATTTAAATACCTGGGGAATGAGAAATGCGTGCGTACCTATGCCTGCTTCGAGTTGTTGGTGACACAAAATTTGAATAGGAAAGCAACAGAACTATCAAGAGAACAAAACAAAAAATCCAGTCACGAACACCTCACCTTCCTGCCAATGTGCAACGCAAAAATAGGCATAAACTCAGAAGTTCTACCCCTCTGAACTCCATCCATTCTCTCCTCTTCTTCCACACACATCTCAGAAAGGCGTCCGCATTCTACCAACAGCCATCTCTGCCTCATATTAGGAGGCATACCAACCATTTTTCTTACTCTTCATTCACCAAAATATATCTCTCCTTATCAGCAAGATGTCTGAAATTCCCGAGTCATCTCGGACTGGCGTTTCTAAGCCGCCGCAACCACCCCAGCTCTATGCTTGGGCTGTCATCTTGGAAGATGAAGACGAAGCTGAACTATCTCCACTACGATTTCCTCGATTCATCTGCATAGCAGAGAAGGAACCCAAGAGCCCAGTTCTAATCCGCACTCTGGTTACCGCAAGTTGCGCTGTTGAAATCGACCAGAAGCTATGTATCATTGCTGCCGACTTACCCCTGGCCGTGCCTCGAACTGTACCAGGGAGAAAGGAGATCCATAACGAGGGTTTCGAAAATCCAGATTACTACGATAGGGTCCCTTTCAAAGCGTGTTTGAAAGTCGGCCGTGTGGTCTTGCCACAAAAGGATGAGCTTCAAAACAAAATTATCCTGATCGACCCTGACACCGCATTCTCCCCGGTTGCCGACTACGCAGGTTCCGTACCATCTTCGTTCGAAATCGATAGCGACTGTTCCAAAAAGATAGAAGAGACAATCTCTGCTGCTCGTACGGCGTGCTGGCTCGGCGAGAAGCATCCAAGCCGCGAAAAATTCGTGGTTAACAGTATTATTAGCCTGTGTGGGAGACACGAATGTGACGGAATGAAGCCTTATATGAAATGGAAAATAGAACCGCGCGCCGTCCAGCCGTATGAGCCATTGAAGCTCCATTTTCTGGAGCATGAATACCAATCCGTTTCTGTGAAGCTTCCTGCCAAGACTCGGTACACCGGGGTCCTTGTACTGAACAAAGATGGCAAGGCTATCGGAATTACTTACTCTATGGACCCAGAAACGGAGGACAGACCCGAGCTATGGTACCACCCTGAGGGATGGGACGAGAAAGACAAATGGAGCGATTATGCGCGCTCGGCATTTTCTCATAATGTCGAGGCTATGTGCCAGATGGAGAAAGCGTCGCTATCGCCACGATCGTTTGTTGTCGGGATTCTGTTGTTCAGCGACAACTTTGATACGGTGTCGGTCAAGAGAAGCTTTGGGACGGTAGTGGCCGAGGAGCTTGGAACTTTTGTGATTAATGAAGATAAAAAACAAGGCAAGAAAGGCGATGAAGAAGGCAAAGCAGTCTGGATTACTCGTGTTTGGGTTGCTCTGAAACGAACAGAACAGAGGGACTAGAGGGACAAGATGGCCTGACTGGAGCGGTGGAATGGTTTCCTTTTCAGCAACACATTGAAGGTGGTTATACACAGATTTCCTGTCAATTGGTGACATGGGGTTTCAGGAGATTATTAAATCCAAAATAGGTCATTCTACCTAGCTTCTGTTCCACCGTGATGTCCAGTACATTGTAGCCTCACCCAAACCCGACCACGCTTTTGACATCTAAAGTATGGTTGCCGGTATCGATTAGTAAAATGTGTTCTGCCACTTGAGGTGTGCATCCATGATTTATGCGTCTGTGTTTCACTGCACATGGGAGCTCATGAACGTCTCATCAACATAACTTTCGGGCGCCAGTCACCGGATGCATGGGAAATGGCCTGAGGACCTGGGCTGTATAGCATAATGTGCCGACAATTGAGCTTCCGAGTGTCGGTAGCGGGTACATGAAAACCCGGGTTTGAATGTGGGTAGGGTATCACGATGTACCGAAGGGTTTGTAACTCTTTGTCTTTGAGAATGATGGTTCCTCGAAGTATATAAAATGCACGTGCATCCGCGCAGGTGATTCGAGGTGTGCAAACAACAGCTCGAGAGAACAAAGAAAATCAAGTGATCAATTACATTCTACTGCGTAAATATGAGAAGACATATAGTTAGGGGTCTCTGCCCGTCCCGATCCTTTTGGTTTCTTCACACTTTCCACATCACACCGAGTTACTGCCTACCTATACAACTACAGATTCCATACACGCCATACCGAAAAGCTACGCCTATTTCTGCAGTCGCCATGTCATCTCAGGCCACACAACGCCGGTCCAAGACCAAAAGCTCTGTTCGAGGCCAAGACTCATCCCCATTGTATGCTTGGGTTATAGCCCCCGCAGAAGAAGATATCGATATACAGTCATTCCTTCGCTTCCCTCTCCGAATCTGTCATGCCACCGTCAAGCCCAGTGACGGTGTGTATTATGAGTCAATATGCACTGCTGGTTGTGCTCTCAATGTAGCTGGGAGGCTATACGTGGTGGCCCCTCCTGTCCCGCCAGTTCCTAGCTCCGCTGGTGAAGCCGAGCAACAGCAAAGGGTAAAGATCAGGGATTCTGTGCTACTTGGTAGAGTGGTATCGGATATTAAGAGGAGGGACCTTATGATCATTGAGGTGGCCGATATCTTCCGAGAATGTGAATCCTCGATACCAATCAAGGACAACTGGATAACGCGCAACCCTGGGGATACCCTTTACTGTTCTGCAAACGTTGTCGTAATGAAGACAGTTGATACCAGACCAGGGCGACAAGCAGGCCAATCGAGCTCTGAAAGAGTCCAGCAACCCCATGCTACCGCCAATATTGCTCTCGAGCTTCGACGCGAGCCCTCGGATGACTCGTACAATCGCTCTCCCAAACACTGGAGTTGGCATCCTGGTATTGTACAAAAATTAGGACACCTACGACGGAGGGACGCAGGCTCTCTAGTAGTGAGCAATGACAATGCTGCAATTGGCATTGCTCACCACGTGATAATTGGCCCAGGATTCAACGTCGCCGATAGCGTGCCGTTCAATGAGGAGTTTTTGGCTTATATCGCCAACCTCTCACCGGCGTCCCAAAGTTTGGGAGAGACGCAAGGCCAAGCCAGTGACTCTCGCGTTTGGATGTGCCTTGAGCGCCGCCACGATGCAGGCCAAGAGAAGGTGGAGATGGCCGAGCCGAGCAAGGCGTTGAAACAATAGCTCCGAGGTATGATTGCCACT